GGCGCGGGGGCGGGCGGGGGCAGCCAGGCGCGGGCCGGCGGCGGGTCGCGGGCGGGCTCGGGCTCGGCGGTGGCGGCGAAGGGGAAGAAGAGCGGCTGAGCGGGCGCCCCGTCGAAGGTGCCGCGGGGGAAGGGAGGTCCGGCGTCCGTCACAAGGCCGAAGGGGGCGGCCGGCAGCCCCCCGTCCGGGCTGAACATGCTGCCCGCCGCCCGCTGCCCTAGGGCTCCATGCGGGGGCTGCCGGCCGCTGCCTCCCTGCTGGGGCGCCGCTGGGGCCTCTGAGAGCGGCGGGGCCGGGCCGGACCGGATGGAGATAGGCCCCGGCCCCATTGGGCCCCGCATCGGTGGGTCGGGCGTGAACTTGATCCCCCAGGGGGGCGGGGGGCACGGAGAGAAGGTGCTATTGGGAGGGGGCTGCGCCGGCCCGCACCCAGCGCCGGCGGGGAGGTGGACGGGGCGGCCCCGATGGGGCAGGGAGGGAGAAGACACCGATCTTGCCGCGGGGTCTCACACCCCTCCAGTCCCGGGAGACTCGAGGACACCCGCGTCCCTCGCACCCCTCCGGCCCCACGCAGTTCGGGGGGCATTGCGCCAGCGTTAGGACAGAAGCAGCCATGGGGTCTTCCCAGCTGGGAACCCCCAGCGCTGCGGAGTCTAGGCAAGGAACGGGGTGGCTTTGAGGAGCTATCGGTGGCATGAACCGGAGCCAGGGGCTAGTGTGAGGGCAGCCTATCCATTTGTGGCAGCCACTTGTCCCCAGTACAGACAAGCCCCGTGATGCCGGTGTCATTGTGCAGCAGCAGGGGTGGTCCAGAGCTTGACCATCACCTCTTGCCCCTCTTAATGCCTGGTCTTCTTGATTGGGCCGTAGCTCCTTGGGGAGCATGGACAGAGATGAGGCTCCCGAGGCCCCTTACAGTCTCACCATTTCTCTCTTTCTCACTCTGCAGAGGAGGGTTGTGGCTTGTAGGAGCGTGTGTGTCCCTGTGGCCTCAGAGCTCGGAGGGCACTGCAGGGGAAGGAATTGCAGCCCCAGCTATCGTGTCCATCGTCTCCACAATGAAGCACACTCTATATTTTCTCTATCTTAAAGACATTCCTTTCACACTGCCCTTCACAATTGTTCTACCAGGGCTGGCTCGGCTCCAGTCATTTCCCCTTTCCTTCCCTCCTGGCTCAGCACCGGGAACCTTCCAGATCCTGACACTGCCATGCCATCAGCCTCTGCCCAATGCCAGTTCCTGCATACGGGCAGGTACCAACAGCATGGGCACCCCCTGGCCTCAGCTGGAGCAGGGCGAAGAGTGCTCTTTCTGCCAGCACCCCGTGATCCCAGCCAGAGCAAGGCAGGGAGTGATCCTGCTGCTGACACTGCTGCCTGTTTATTAACCCGGATTACCAGGAGCTGCTGCCGTCTCGCACTGGAGATATGGTGAGGAGATAGGCTGGAGCAGCCTCCCCCGTGGCGGGATGGGAATGGGGCTGTGGGCAGGGGAAGGTGCTTGATGATGTTTATGAAGCACTTGCTTTGGCTGCTGAGATGGCTGGAACCCAGGAACTGGCACCCAGGGAGTGATGCCCTGGGACAGGCACCCAGGGGCTGGCAGACAGAGACTCATTCCCACAGCTGGCATCCAGGGACTGGCATACAGGGACTGGCATCTAGGGACTGGTATCCACAATGCCAGCAGCAGCCCCTGGCCCAGCACATGGCACTGCTGCATGTCAGGGAAGTGGAACAGCTGAGCCTCCTGATGATATTCCTCTTAGGAAAAAGAATGGCCCAGTGGATGAGCTGGAATTAATGTCTGTTCCTGACGCCTGTCAGGACATGTACCAGGCTGCCCATCCTGGCTGTGCCAGGCTGCTCCAGAAGGGAGGGCAGCCCCAGGAAAACGAACTAAGGATTCAAAAACCCTGTCAGTGGGGCCGTGGGCAGCCCTGAGTGAGCCCTGTGGCTTCTGGACCTCAGGGGTCCCATGCCCAGAGTGGTGAAGCACCTTCCCCAGCAGGGGCTGGATGCAATCTGCCAAGGGACTCCCTGGGCCGTGCTGCTGAGGATGCTGGACCCAGTGCCGTGCGGGCAGACCTGCCCACTGCCTGCTATGCTGCTGCCTGCCCCGCTGCCAGCGGGCAGAGGAAATCTCTCTGCGGGACCCTGATGGCAGCCATCAGCCCTGCTCCTCCCGGGCTCCTGCTGCGGCCCAGGGTTTCAGAAGCTCCTTGGCTAGGCAGTAACTCCCTTTCCCTTTGATTTATTGTTCCCGGGCTGGACCCCCTCCTCCTGCCAACCTACTTTTCTCTCCATCCCCCCGGGAAGCCTCCCAGGCCTCCCTCCCCCCCTCTGCCTCTCCTTCCACCCCCCACCCCCCCACCCCCCCGGCCCTCAAACGCATTCCTTGTCCTTTCATATACAGACCGAGGGGAAGGGAGACGTTGACTTTGAACCGGCCCCTTTGTAGGCACGGGAGCCCATTGTGGCAGTGATGGTTTTAGCTGGGGGATGTGGAAGGAGTCAGTGGGGTTTCTCGGTGTGTGCCCCCCCCATACATTTCAATGATTTTGGGTGATTTGAGGGGGGGGACTGTGTGAGGTTATTGTGTAGGGTATTTGAGCACCAGTGACTGCATCTCTTCTGCCTGCTCCGGGGGAGATGGATGCATGCATCCTTCCATCAGCCCATATCTGGAACCTGCTAGTGTTCCAGCCTTAGCCTGCCTGTCTAAGGCAGCCAGGGATCAGTGGGATCCTGCTAAGAAAATGAGAGCAGAAAAAAATGCGTCTACTTTACTGGCTCGCTCAGATGGCAGCAGGCTGGAGTGGGCTGAGATGTACATCTGCTCATCCTCCCTTTGCTGAGTGTGCTGGTGTGACACCGGTGCTTGGGATTTTAAGAGAGTGGATGAGCACGGATGATGTTTTATTCATGGTCAGGCCACCCTTTTCTGTGGCAGGTGGCGCGTGGGGGGGGGGGGGGGGGGGGGGGGGGGGGGGGGGGGGGGGGGGGGGGGGGGGGCTGTGCTGGATACCCCTGAGTTGCCCACTGAAGGGGTGCTGCAGTCCTGCACGGGGTCCCATGGTGAGGGGGCCACTCCAGGACCTTCTAAGGAGGGCTGGACACGGGGTTCATCTCCAGAAACCCCATGCCTGGAGGAACGCCGATCTGCTCCCTGTCAGCACAGCTTGCTGGGCTGCAGCTGGCCTAGGAGGACAGTATGGAGTCAGTGCTTCCAAAGCTAGCCCAGGGGAAATCACAGAGGGTGTTTGGGTCCGGTTCTGTCCCCTTATTACAAAGGCCCTGGGCTATAATGTGGGTCTCACCCACACCACCACAGTGCCTGAACACACCAGTGGGCTCACCTTCTTGTGTACAGCTGGGGGAAGTGAGCTGGGGGCTGAAGGCCTTGGATGTCTGCATCGGGGCTCTTGTCCCTGGACAAATTACTCTTCCATGCCTGGATGTGGTAGGGACAGGGATTCCCAAGGCATACAGGGCTCCTGTGGCCTCCTCCATGCCTGGAGCAAGGGCGTCTTCCCAGGCAGAAGAGTCAAGTTTTACTATAAGTTAGAGCTTTCCAAAATGTCTGGATGTGCTCCAAGAGAGATTGCTGGGTTGTGGGAGCAAAGAATGGACAAATCTGGGGACCTCGGCAGAAAGGAGTGGGTTCCAGGGTTTTCCCAGGACTGAGCCCTGGGGGCATCTTGGGTTATTTGGGGTGTGCATCGCCCGGGGGTGCAGCTGGAGACTCCCGAGAGAGACGCGTCCTGGGTGGGTGCTTTGGCGGTGAGTCAGCACCCACCTCGGGCTGCTGAAACCTGGAGAGATGGTATCAGCCTGATGGGGGGGCTGCCGTGATCAAAGGAACTGGGCTGCACACAATGCGGGGACTTGATAGCCCTTATCTGTCATCCCCGAGGTGCTAAGGGCCCAGGGGCAAGGGGCGGAGGGGGGTGGGTGGTGGGTGCTGCAGAACTGGGTGCGGGGGCTCCCATCCGACCTTTCGCTGGAGAAACCTGGCAAATACTGAGATACAAGAAAATTATCCCCGGTTCTTTATGTGCCCGAGAAAACCCTTGGGAAGGGTTTGAACACTCCTCCAGCTGCAGAAGCAGGATGGCTGCTCACTGTTCCCTGGGGAAGGTTTGGGGACCCACAGCATCCTCCCTTCTTGTCCCCTTGTCCCACCCCGCTGTCTAGAGGAACCCCCCAAACCTCGGGCCCCACACCACACACTCGCATGGGTCTCAAACATGGTCGTTTAATAAAATCTCCTTTTAAAAGAACTACAATTCATACAACAACAACGAGAGGTGTGGGAAGAGTGGCAGCAGCCCAGGGGAGGGGGAGTACAGGACATGGGGACAGAATCTGTGCAGTGATGGCCTCTGTCAGCCACCCCGCCAGGGACAGGGACGGTCCCAAGCCACCACCACTCACCAGCACATCCCTGCCACTGCTACCTGCCCTGCCCATGCCTGTCTGAGTGTGCAATGGCTCCAGGGAGCATAACCGGTGACCTGTGGCCGTGACAGTCCACAACAGGGTCTGGACATGAAGCCACACGTGTGCAAAGTAATCCAAACCCTGTTCTGGGCCTTCCACTGGAGGGGTTCATGGCCTATGCACCCGGGAGGGTTTGAGGAGCAGCACTGGGCTCCAAGCAAGAACATGTTGGTGAGGCTGGATGCAGGCAACAAAGGGATGCAGGGAGTCTGCGGCCTGAAAGGTGCCTAGGATGGAGCTTTGGAGACTGTCATCTGCCACAGAGGGATGCTCAGAGAATGCACAGTGCCAGGCTCCACATGGATGCTGCCAGGGCATGGGCTCTGTGGGGTTTGAAGCAGCACAGCAAAGCCCCCATGCCTTGGCTACCCCTCTCAAGCCACCCCAGCTCCCTCCAGTCCTGTTCCTTCCTCCCCCACAGCCACATAAGCTTAAAAACAAAACCTTGAACACTTTTTCTGAGCTTTTACCCCACTGAGGCCTGTGATAAGAGAGAGCCCATCCTCTGCCAGCACAGACTGATGTGGGCCAGTGGCACTGGGACTGTCCTGAAGCCCAGCACTCCTAAAGGGGTCAGAGCACAGGGCAGCATCTGAAGGAGCAACCTGGGGAGTGATGCCGGTGCCTGCTTGTGCTGCTCCTGCTCCTGCCACTGGCTCCCAGAGCACTGTCCTGCTGCCAGGAGCTGCCCAGGCTGGGGTGCAGGAGGCAGAATGGGCACTGAAGCCCTTAGTGTTGCCACCTGCTCCAGGAAAAGGCCCCATCCCTGGCAGAGGGGCTCTGGGCAGGCTGGCAGCCCTGATGCCAGGCATGAGCATGCCCAGCCCTCCTGGCTCTCTCCTGCTTTCTGCCCCTCTCTCTGGCTCCCTCCTAGCTGCTACGCATGAGCCTAGCTTCAGCTAGGGCAGCAGCCCCCTCCTCAAAGCCAACTACAAAGGGACAGTGCCACAGCCCTCCCCTCCTTCCCCTACCGATTTCTGTGCCAAAGCAGCTGCCCCCCTGCGCCCGCGAGAGCTGTGAGCAAACGGCAATGCAGGGACGCGATCACAGCAGCAAAGAGGACAAGGACGCTGGAAAAGGGGGCGATCCCCCCCTCCATAGCTGTTAGTGGGTGTTTATTGGGCAGGCGTGGAACAGTCTGGCAGGTCCCTCGGCCCAGCTGTGGGTGCTCCCCCGGCACGGCCACCCCGCTGGGCACGGCCGCGGGCACAGTCTGCAGCAAGCTCGGGGTGGTTACTGGTGCGACTTGGGGTCGGAGGGGTGTAAGGAGGAGTCGTCAAACAGCGGGTTTCTCACTTCCATTTCTCCAGTCTGCCGTGGCGGTGGGAGAGGGATGGGGGAAAAGAAAAGGCAGGAGGTCAGAAAGTAGGTTGGGATTCAGCTGCCCCATCCCAAGGGGTTTGGGTCTGAACCCCAGCCCGGCAGGTAGGAGGGAGGAGGGGAAAGGGGGCGACCGAGTGGGCTGCAATGGATGACAAACACCAGGACTCCCATCACCCTGGAAAGGAGCTGCCTCCCTGACAGGAGGGAATGAGGTGGGGTGATGTGTAAAATCCAAGGTCTTGGGTGGGATGGGACCCCACAGCTGGGCTGGGGACCCCACGATAGCACTCCCAGTCTGGCTGGCAGGAACAGAATTTCTCACTCAGACTGGGGATCGCAGGATGGGCCCCTCAGCACGGCTGGCAGAAATGGGGTGCCCTGCCCAGACTGCCTGCCTGCGATCAAGTGCCCTTTAATGGGCCTGTAAAGACCCACTGATGACCCTCGATCTGGGCCCTGATGGCCGCACTCCGCAGCTATTACCATGTAAAAGGCTCCTCTTCGTCCCTTTGTGCTCTTTGTACCCAGGGCTGTTATGAGCTGCCCTTCCCCGAAGTCCCCCGCTAGCCAAGAACACCCTACCCTCTCTGGCTGTGAGGGGTCACATGTCTGCGCTCCAGGCGTTGGGATGGCACAAGGACGAGCCCCCCCAGCTCCGTACCCAGCAGCCAAAGGGATGGTGGCTCAGGTGTGCCAAGGGCTGCTCTAGTTATCTGCTCCCAAGGAAAGCCTTGTGCCAGGACATGCATTCCTGCCCACTGGAGAGCTTCAGTGGGAGCTGGCTAGGGACATCGGGGGAGCAGAGGGGCAAAGGCTGGACCACCTCCAAGTTTGATGAAGAACACGTAGAAAAGGCTCCTCACACAGAAGTGCACGTCCCACGCACATGTTGGACACTCCCACATGCACAGGGACCCCTGGCTCTCCTGCACCCACATACCGGAGCCAGCCCAGGGCACTCATACACGGTGAAGTCTCCATCCTCATTCTCCTCATCAGATGATGCTGAGTCCGGCAGCTTGGGCTCCTCTTTATGCCTGGGGGGAAGAAGATGTAGAGAGGAGGTGAAGCCCAGTGGGATGATCAGGACCATCCCAGTTAATGGCAGGACACGCTGTTTGCTACCAGGCTGCTTACTTCTCCAGGGAGAGCATCTGCTGCTTTTGGTGCTGGTAGTGGTACATTTGGGCACTCTGAGCCAGCGTCTTGTCCCCAGGCTGTGGAGAGAGCAGGAACAGCTGTGGAGACTGGGCTTTGATGGGCCCCAGCCTGGGTGGTGGAGGGCCTCCACGGTGAGGGAATCCCTCCAGCAGAGCACTGAGGCCCGAGTGGCAAACACCCCACAGGGAGGGACACGGACACCTTACCGAGATCTTGTCGTAAGGCAGGGGGCTGGCTACTCGCTGGGCTGAGTAGTCTGCTTTCTGTGCCAGCCTGACCTCCTTCTGCAGCCTGCCAGGGAGGGGCATTGGAATCAGGGAATCAGTAAGGTTGGAAAAGTTTTCTAAGATCAAGCCCAACCATTAACCCAGCACTGCCAAAGCCCACAACTAAACCACGTCCCCAGGTGCCACATCCATGTGTTTTTTCAACACTTTCCGGGATGATGACTCCAACACCTCCCTGGGCAGCCCTTCCTAATGCCTAATGCCTGACCTCCCTTTATATGAAACTTCCCTAATATCCAAACTGTCTCCCCTGAGACAATTTGAGGGCATTTCCTCACATCCTGTCCCTTGTTCCCTGGGAGCAGAGCCTGACCCTCCCCTGGCTGCTCCCTCCTGTCAGGGAGTTGTGCAGAGCACAATTGTCCCCTTTTCTCCAGGCTGAGCCCTCCCAGCTCACTCAGCTGCTCCTCATAAGACTTGTGCTCCAGACCCTTCACCAGTTCCATTCCCTTCTTTGGACATGCTCTTGCCCCTCAATATCTTTCCTGCCATGAGGGGCCCAAAACTGAACCCAGGATTTGAGATGCCTCACCAGTGCCCACTGTGGGCACAACGACTTCTCTAGCTCATCCTAGAGGATGTGGGGAGCCATAGGAGCAGACGACTCCATTCAGGAGCCAGTGACCCTTGGAGGGTCAGCCCTGTTCCCTGTGATGGCAACCACGACAGGCACAGCCATCTCCATCCCACGGGGCCTGCGCACAGGGCACCAATGTGCTGGCAGTGCCAGCACCCAGTGCCACAGTGATGCCCACACCACGTGCCACCCGCTCCCAGAGCCTGCATCTGGCACGAAGGTGTCTCACTACTGTCCTCCTGCCCCAGCCAGCTGATGGACACCTCGGGAGGACTACTGCCTCTCTTCCAACCCCTCATGCCTGGGAAGCATGGGAACACACTGCCCTGGGCGCAGGGTCACTGGGGGACTATCAGCAGCCCCAACTCACCTGTACCAGCAGATGGCCGCCACAATCAGCGCCGAGATCCCGGCCACTGTGCACACCACGATCAGCCCTGCACAGGTGGAGAGGACAGCAAGGGGCAGCAGGTGAGCTGGCAGCATGGTGACACCAGCCCATGCTTCCCTGGTGAGGGTGTGAAACCCCTTCCTCTGAGTCCCAGGGTCTCACCGAGCACCATGTTGTCATTTTCAGGGATGGGGGACGCCTCCACCGGGTACTTCTGGACTGTGGCAGTGGTAGGAAGGGTGGTGGCTGCCATGGTGCCAGCGGGACCCTGCTGCAGATGCAGATGCCCCTCTCTCAGCCCACTGGCCACATGCTGTCTGCCACCGCTGGGCACCAGGGTGGCTGCGGGAGAAGACAGAGCAGTGGTGAGCGGTGCCCAGGCAGCTCCAGAGGGCAAACCTTTCTGGGGTGCAGGGTCTGGCTGCCATGGGGTCCCTGGCACCGCTGGGAACAGGGATGAGCACTTACTCTTGGGTCTGCCATCCTCTAGTGGGTGGTGGCGAGGAGCCTCCTGCCTGGCCAGCACATCCGCGAGAAAATCGATTTCTGCCTCCAAGCTGGGAACAGAGGTCCGTCCTGCAGGAGAACAGGTGTGAGATGGGCACTGGGGGGTGCAGGTGTGTGCCCACCCCCAGGGCTAGACCAGTACCCCCAAGAAGGGGCTCCTGTCCCAGCTCCAGCAAACACGGGTGGTGTTCAGTCTGAGACATCAGTCTGGGACATCTGATCTGCCCCTCAGATGCTGCTCTCCGAAAGCTGGGCCCCGGACCCATGGGTGTCCTTGCCGCGTTCAGTGGGATTTTCACCCCACAAATGCTGGAGGATCAGGAGCAACAGCATCTGCTCTCGTGCCAGAGGCAGCAGGTCCTGCAGACTCTGTGAGAGAGGGCAGGGTGCCAGCACCTGGTGTGCAGGACCTGCCCTGTGTCCCTGCCCCTGGAGTCACACAGCAGCTCCAAGTAAGGAGGGATGGGAGCTGGACCAGGACAGATACTCCCCAGCTGTGTGGCTGCCTCAGGGGTGAGGGGTAGCTTCAGCACAGTGAGTTACAGTCAGGGGACACCTGGTTTCACTCCAAACACTGTTTTTCACCCCAAATTGTCCTTTATAGACCAGAGTGGCTGAAGCACGGGCTCATCTTGGCTGTTCAGCAGAGCATGGGAGTCCTTGCTCCAGCAGAGGGGTTGGTTCCTGCCCAGCACCTGGTGGGATGCAGCTCCTTTGAGAGCTCCATCAGTGAGGGATGTACCCCCAGGGGCTGCTCCCAGTAGCATCTCACAGGTAGCTGTCCAAGCCCATGCCCCAGAACAGTGCCCACCAGGGACATCTGCCCCTCAGGGGGCTCTTGCAGCATCAGGCACAGGCAGGACTCCCACTCTGGCCTGGGGTGACAGCATTGCAGCAAGAGTGGAGTCGCTCTTCTGAGGCTCATCAAGCAGAGTTCAGCTCTGACACTCACCACTGCTTTTAACAGGATTAAACTCAACTTCAAAGGCAGTAGACATCCCTGACACCTTCTCAATCCCCATCCTATCCCTGTTTCCTTTGCCCACACTCAGAGTGTCCCCTCAGAGAAGCCCTGGAGCCTAAACCTAGACATACTAAGGCAAGGTGATACTGCCAGATAATTCAAGGTTATAAGAATTACATCTCTGGAATCTGTCCTCACATCCAATGCTTGGAAATAAACCCCGATTCCCTCTGGAGCTGTGCACAACTGCCACCTTGCTCCTCCATGACTCAGAGCCACATGAGCCAAAAAACAACTTAAAAGGGGGACACTCTTGCTTTAAACAAAAGCACCAAAAGTCACTGTCCCTACATCCTCCATGCCGTGGTGTCCCCACTGCCCCCAGCCCTTGGCTAGAGCCCTGGGTTTCCCTGGCTCTTTGCACCCTGTTATTTGCATCCCAGAGCAGCATCATAGTCAAGTGGTGCCAGGTTGGGGCTGTGCCAGTGCTGTGCCCAACAGGTGAGTGCCATGGTGACAAGGCGCCAGCACGGGGCCAAGGTCTCCCAGCGGGCAAGGGAGTTAGCATGGGACCCAGTGTGACAGCCCTGTGCCACAGGGGGACATCCTGGTGCCCAGGATTGGGATAGCCCTGTGTCAGGGACATGCTAATGCCTGGCATGGGGACATTTGGGTCCACCTTGCCTCTGCACTCTGGGAAAGGTCTGTCTTCATAGGAGACAACCCTGTCCATCTCACGTGTGCCACCACCAGGCTGCGCTGGTGTTGGATGTGATGTGGCTGGAAAAAGGAAAATAAAGTTGAAAAAGCACCCCGAGCAGCTGCCAGGTCCCTCAGTCTCGCACTCTGGGAGTGTGTGAAGTGGCACCTTGGAAACTGAGGCAGCGTTGGGGGTCCCGGCGTTGCTGCAGCGCCTGGGTTGTGCCGCTTACCTGCACTAACCAGCTTTATCACCAAATTCTCTTCAAGTGGCTAAAAGCTGCCCACCTCCCATTCTGAGTGGCATCCCCCAGTGATGGCACAGTTTCCACTACACATTTGAGGGCACTGAGGGCTGGGTCCTCCCGGCACTGTGGGTGTGTGAGATGCTGGCCCTGAGCTGCTCCAGGGAATAAGGGGCCGGGGTGAGCCCCAGTTCCTGCCTGACTGCCCCAGGAGCAGAAGCAGAGATGCTGGGGAGGAACAGTGTCCAGGGAGGGCACACAGGGCACGCAGGACATGTAGAGGGGCACTCAGGGGTGCAGGCAGGGCTTGTGCAGGGTACGGGGGCCCCCTCATGGTAGCTGCCACCAGTGCTGCAGCAGGATGGCATGGCCAGGCTGGCACACAGCCCCCCAGCCCCTCTGCTCTGCCCCTGGCCTCTCCTCAGGGCTTCCACCTTCTCAGGGCTCAACCCTGGGACACACACGTACCCTGACAGTTTGGGGAAACAGGGACCAAGGAGAGACACGTGAGGCTTCTGCCCTGGGCTGAGGAAACCTGTAACTGACAGTGTCCACAGGAGGGCACAAAATTCTTATAAATCCACTAATTTCTATAGTCCTGCCCCAGGATGGCTGATGTCCTCTTTGATGCTGGCAGCACAGTGAGCAGGGAAGGAGGAACACCCATGTCTGTGAGCTGAGGTCCCTTTTCCCCCTTTTCCCAAAGTGCTTCCTGCAGCCCAGTGGGGCTCCATGCTGGTCAAGCAGAAGCAGGGATAAGACCTACTGATAAAACCCATCACAGCACAGACACATGCAGCACCATGGAGCACGTGGGATTTTGGGGAGCTCAAAGCCCTGTGCAAGACAGCAGCGGCCAGGTGCAGCCAGCCAGCTGTGGGATGCAGTGTACCCAGATTCCACGCATCCCATCTCACCTCTGTGCTGATGCTGTGCCAGATATGCTGAGAGCACATCATGGCAGGAACACTCACATGCCCTCCTGAGACCCCAAATGGTGCTTTTCACCTCAAAAAGCTGCTTTTGGGAGAGGATCCCTGGCTCCTGCCAGGAGCTGTGGGGATGGCACAGTGTCAGGATCCCAGGATTGGCGTCACCAGCAGTCACAAGTGGCTCAAGGATGTGTAACCCTTTAAAGGATCAGCCTACATAGCAAAAGGGCTGCATGGGTATCCCCTTTAAAGGCTGAGGCATCCTTGGGCTACAGCAATCCCCTGTTTGCCTTGCATCTCCCCCTAAATGCAGCTACCACAGCCCCTCTTCATCATCACAGCCCTCTCCAGTGCTGCTACCAGACAAAGGTACAGGCAGGACCAGAAAGAAAGCCCCCATGGAAAAAGAAATGGTGCCTCCCTGCCAAGAGGAGCTGGGCATCCTCAGAATGCTAAAACAGAGAATTTGGGAGGGGATCCCCCTTTTTTATTTAACACAGTCCCCACACTTTTGCTGCCACAAGCTAGTGGCATTGCTTGGGACAATAGGATGGGACTGGGAGAGACTTTGGTGTCACCATTCTCCCATGGTGGGTCCTTAGAGGATGGCACCATGGTCCTGCATCTCTCTGTGTAAGAATGCAACTGTGGCCACATCCTTCAGAAAGGAGCTGAGTTGCTATGGAGATGCCAGTGCATGTGCAGCCCTTGTGAGAGGGGAATTTGCTCTCAAGACTTCACATTAAAAAATGAACTATAAACAACTGCTAAAGCCATTCAATGCCAGTGGATGAAGAGCCCATGGCAGGGGCACTGACTGCTGTCAAACACCAAGTCTAGACACTATTCCTGTGCCATCCCCTCTTATCCCCCCAGCCATCCCTCTCATTTCAGCCAAAAGGTCCTGCTTTGGTGGTCTCCACTCTGATTTACAGGGTAATTCTCCTGCTAGGAGGAATTGCACTGAAGGCGTGCTGGGTTCTGACATCTTCCATGTGCCCACCTGGGCTGAGCCATGGGTGAAGGATATCTCCAACTGCACCCCAACAGGACCCTGAACATGCTCAACAACACAAAGCAATCCCCTAAAACTCAGAGGACCTCTCCATGTCTGCATGGAGTTCAGATGCAGGGGGAGGTGCTTCCCTGGTTCAATGACCAGTGCTTGTCCATCCTGCCTGGCATAGGACAAGCCACCCTGCATGGTTTTAGGAGCTCCCCAGGAGTTGGAAACCCCTTAGCAGGAGGCTTTTGGGGGCAGCAGGAGTGAAGAGCAGGTAGAGAAGGGTGGGCTGGGGCAGATACCAATACATTCTGCACCAGGAGGTGACTCAGAGATGCTCCAGAGTACCTTGCACCCAGGCAGTCCCCAGCAGAACCTACCAGGAACAGCCTGAGGGTGTGGCCAGTCGTGGTTGTCCCCATCCACAGAGGCCACTCCACTTTATAGCAATAAATAATTGTGTGGAGCCATAATTATAGTCTTAACTCACCTGCGAGATGAGCCCATAAGGGGACACAGAAATAGCTCTGCCACAGCTTTCCAAGCTGCATGAAGAGTTTACCGTCACGCTAAAAAACGCCTGTGCCTGGCTCCCAGCACTGTCTTTGCAGCTGAACCAGGGGCACAGGGAGCACCCTTCAAGTATTGCAGTGGCAGTGCGATGGGTGACCGTGGGCTGCTGCCTGGGCTGCCACAGCGCCTTGGATCCCTCGGGGCCAGGGCCAGGAATAACACCCAGCATGGCCCTCCGTGCCCCGCTGTGCAGCCCGGGAGTGGTCCTGCCAGTCACAGCTGACTCCAGCCCTCCCAGCATGGATGCTGGGCATCATCCAAGGAGGAAACAGCAGTCCTGAACCACAGGCTAACGTCTCAAACCAAAGGGAATCAGGCACTGAAATCCCACTGGCACCAGCTCAGCCAGCTGAGCTGGGATGGGTGAGGCCATGGGCAGCATAAGTCACTGCTCTGTGTGCTGAAGGTAGCTCCCCTGCTCCTGCAAAGCCTGAACCCTGGAATAGCCAGGCAGACCCTGGAGATCCCCAGAAGCTGCCTATCCTTGGAGGTCCTAGGCTCCCCACAGTGCTGACAGGGCAAATCACCAGAGCAGGATGCATGTAGAGCAGGATGGGGTTGCCAGCCCAAAACCACGCCCCAGCTGAGGTGAGGGGGTGAGAGGGAGAAGAGTAGCTGTTCCCACAGAGATACAGCTGCCATGGAAAGAAGAGGATGGGGTACTGCTGGGGTGGGGGGCTGTCCTGAGGCACAGACCCTCCCAGAGCTGCAGAGGTGCAGGCAGAGGGGTGGAGGGTGGGTGCACCTACCACTGGGTGAGAGCTGCTTCTGGACACAGCGCCCGCGGTCGTCCTCCTGGAAGGGGGGCAGGCAGGGCCCACAGGCACCTGACCCCGGCGGGCAGAACTCCCGACGCTGCAGGGCACAGTCCAGGCTCCGGGGACACGATGCTGCTGTGGGGACAGGACAAAACAGCTCAGGAGGAGGTCAGGGGTCAAACACACCCCCAGGTCTGTTCACGGCTTTTTCGAGTGGGACCCAGCTGCCCCGGGCTGCCCACGGGTGCTCCTGCTGCAGCTCCAGGCTATCAATGGGCTTCACCACAGCTGCCCCAAGACCCCGCTTTGCCTCCACAAAGCCATTACCACCTGGAATTAACCATGAGCTTAATTACTGTGGAGTTGGACTCAATGATTTTCATGGGGCCCTTCCAACTTGAGGTAGTCTGTGACTCCATCACATGCACAAGGCAGTTGCAGTGATGAGCATGCAGTGCTCATACCCCGCAAGGGCTCCCAGCCCCAGGGTGCCACCATCCTGTGGGACACAATGTGGGAGTGCTGCAGCACCAGGATCTCCTGCTGCTGCCTGCCCTGCATGGGGAGATGAAATCCAACCAGCACAGACTGATGCTGGTGTGGTGACTGTCAAATCGATAGTACCAAACACCCCCAAAGCCTCAGTGGGGCGTGGCATTGCTGGTACCAGCACTCAGGCTCCCATCCCTTCGGCATTCCCTGCAGGAAGCAGTGGGAGCCAGCCCTCCCTGGCACTGAACTGCATACCAAACCTCATTCGCAGTTTCATGGGGCATCTCATGCCCATGTCAGCCCCAGGCAGTCTCCACTCCCTGGGTATAGGCATGAGTGCCCCAGGCTCCAGCCTCACCAGCCCATTGTGCCATGGGAGTGTCATCATGGCTGGGTCTTTCACCCCAGGAGGTGGCCCTCCCTGGGGGGACACAAAGTCCCCGTGTCCTAAACAAAGCTGAGTCCTGGGCCAGATGATGGTGGCAAACCATGTGCAGAGCTGGAGACAGGAACTGTGACACAAAGGGCCAGAACTCAGATACCACCTGTGGCAGGGAGCTACTGGGGGCACACTGGGGTCCTGGCTTTGATGGTGACGCTGTTGGTCCTGCTGCAGCTCAAGTGTCTTTCCGTCACAAGCTGGTGGCAGTGTGGAACCAGGCGCCCTTCAGTGCACCCAGCACTCGGGCTGGGCACAACTGTGTGGGAGGAAGAGCTGGATGGGGTTGCACAGCTGGATGGGGTTGCACAGCTGGCTGGGGGTGTGGCACACAGCTGCTGTACTCTGCCCCTCACCCTGCTGTGCACAGCCATGCCCGCAGTGTTCCCGCAGGCAGCAGCAGGCAGGGAGCAGGACTGTGGGGCTGCACTGGGACAGGGCCAGGCTGGCAATGAATCACAGCAGGAGCAGGCTCCCAGCACCGGCCCACGCACCCCAAGCAGTCCCTGCCAGCCCTCGCCGCCACGCTGGCACCAGCACCGCACCGGCCACCTGCCCGTCCTGTGCCCGTCCTGCCTGTGCCCATCCTGTGCCCGTCCCTGTGCCCGTCCCTGTGCCGGTCCTGTGCCCGCTCCTGTGCCCGTCCTGTGCCCGTCCTGTGCCCATCCTGTGCCCGTCCTGTGCCCATCCTGTGCCCGTCCTGTGCCCATCCTGTGCCCGTCCTGTGCCCATCCTGTGCCCGTCCTGTGCCCATCCTGTGCCCGTCCTGTGCCCATCCTGTGCCCGTCCTGTGCCCATCCTGTGCCCGTCCTGTGCCCATCCTGTGCCCGTCCTGTGCCCATCCTGTGCCCGTCCTGTGCCCATCCTGTGCCCGTCCTGTGCCCATCCTGTGCCCGTCCTGTGCCCATCCTGTGCCCGTCCTGTGCCCATCCTGTGCCCGTCCTGTGCCCATCCTGTGCCCGTCCTGTGCCCATCCTGTGCCCGTCCTGTGCCCATCCTGTGCCCGTCCTGTGCCCATCCTGTGCCCGTCCTGTGCCCATCCTGTGCCCGTCCTGTGCCCATCCTGTGCCCGTCCTGTGCCCATCCTGTGCCCGTCCTGTGCCCATCCTGTGCCCGTCCTGTGCCCATCCTGTGCCCGTCCTGTGCCCATCCTGTGCCCGTCCTGTGCCCATCCTGTGCCCGTCCTGTGCCCATCCTGTGCCCGTCCTGTGCCCATCCTGTGCCCGTCCTGTGCCCATCCTGTGCCCGTCCTGTGCCCATCCTGTGCCCGTCCTGTGCCCATCCTGTGCCCGTCCTGTGCCCATCCTGTGCCCGTCCTGTGCCCATCCTGTGCCCGTCCTGTGCCCATCCTGTGCCCGTCCTGTGCCCATCCTGTGCCCGTCCTGTGCCCATCCTGTGCCCGTCCTGTGCCCATCCTGTGCCCGTCCTGTGCCCATCCTGTGCCCGTCCTGTGCCCATCCTGTGCCCGTCCTGTGCCCATCCTGTGCCCGTCCCTGTGCTCGTCCCTGCGCCTGCGGACAGCAACACTGCGGACAGCCCCGGCGCACTCCACAGCGAGGGGCTCCACAGCTGTGGGGGCTGTCCTGAGCATCCCCAGCCCTGCAGCAGAGCAGGGGCGAGGGGGGCAGCACCCCGTACACAGCTGAGAGTCCTCAACAGGACAGAACCGGCAGAGCACGAATCATGACAGTTCTGCTCCCCCAGCAAGGGCGCAGGAAAGATATCACCCCAAAGCGGCACAAGTGGGATATGCAACTCCCTGCCTTTGCATGGCCGTATTTCACTATCAGACTGCTCCCTGGAGGGTGCAGCTGCTAAGAACCTCCAGCCTGTACCCAGGCAACTCCCCTCTGCACTCCATGAGGAAGTCATCACCTTCCCCACCTTGGCTGGCACTGGCAAGAATGCACCAACCACAATTTCAATGCTGGCTGATCCCCACACCAGGCACAGCCGTCTGCAGGGGGTGCGCTTGGGGTGGGGGAAAGTGCCCACTGTGCCCATGGGAGCTGCGTTTTTTGCTGGACTGTTTGCTCCCTGGAGATGGTGTGGGGCTTGGCCATGTGGCTGGGGAGGCAATTAGTGCTTAATGGGCACTAATAATCAGATGTCTGAGCACAGAAATTGGACTTGGCTCCTGGCTTCACTTCCCCAGGGTTACTCTCAAGGCCTCCCTGTTTAAAAAATGGGGCAGGAGGAGGTCGTGGCACTGTGCAGCCTCAGGCTGGGGACATGTCACAGCCCCGTGGGGCAGTGGGAAACACACCTGTAGGGGCCCCTGTCTGTGCCACAGGCTCATGGAAACAATTCCTCCCCAAAGAGGTGCTGCCAAAAGCTGATCACTGGTGGAGGAAGTCAGCCCAGTGTGGGTCACCCCACAGAGCCAGACATCAACAAGACCCTCAGAGCCACCTTGTGAGGAGTGGCAGAGCCCTGAGCCAGAGTCCAGCAACTGGGCACACAAAGCCCAGGCTGGATCCCAGTGAAGGCTGTTATCTCTGTTTGAAGAATGAGCTGTGCTTGCCCAGCTGTCACTGGCTGCAATTCACAGCTCCCCATGTGTCACCAGGCAGTGACTGGTGAGCTGGCATCACTGCGTGGGCAGCCTGTGGATTGAGCCCACAGGGGCTTTGCCACTCCCTGAGCCCACCTCAAAGCCCAGCAGTGAGAGTCCTTTGCTGGTGGGAGTGGGCACCTCACTGCCATGCTAGGTGATGGGGACTGAGCCCTCTGTGTGCCACCACCCAGGTGCCACATGGGCACCTGCAGCCCTGACTGCTGCCACCCTGTGGGGCTGTCAAACTGCACTGACCCAATGCTGCCCCACCCTTGCACACTCACACATTCCTGGGGGCTGGTGCCACCTGCCCAGTGCTCGAGCAGGCAAAGGTGGGTTCCCCAACACTTTGGCCATGGGCCCCCCCTCCTGAACACTCACCCCGAGGCAGGGTACTTGGGCTGGCATAGCATGTGGGTCCCAGTTCCACCCAGCTGTGGCCATGTCACCACCATGCCACCCACCTGTTACCAGTGCCAGCATGCCTGCTGCAGCTCCCAGTCTTGCCTCTGTACCTGCAGGGCTGCTGTTGAATCTGGGGAGTTTGGGATCCCCCCACTCCAACCATGGTCCCCACTTGGCACCAGTGCAGCCCAGCATGGCCTGGCCACAAGTGGGATGGGCAGAGGGACCAAAGCTGGGGTCCAGCTGGGGGCCTGCAAGGACCCTAACCCTGCATGGCCTGCCAGCAGGACAGTACACACCAGAGGAGCAAGCAATGAATTATATGGAATGTGCAGCCAGCACCAGACACGGCACAGCCGGGACGCTGCTGTCCAGATGTGCCAGGGCTGTTCAGAGGAGGAGGATGCTCCAGTTGCTGTCACTGCCCTGCCATGGGGCTTAACTCCTGTGCAGGTGGGCAGGGAGCCCAGAACAGCACAGCTGGGGTAACCCCTTAAACCGAGCTCAACCCTGGGCTGAGCTGCGGTGCTGGAGGAGCCGGGTGACTCCCTGCAGGCAGGACCCCAGCCCAAGGCCAGCAGGTGCATGGACACAGCAGCTGGTACAGACAGACAGACAGCAGGTGGGCATGAGCTGAGCACACATGTAAGCAGGAAAAGACCTGTGCCCAGGAGGAAACATGGTCATGTGAGCAGCAAGGCCCCTGGATGTGTTACCCATGGGGGAAAGCTGAGCACAAAGCTCCAGCCCCAAGGACTCACCCTGGGGAGAGCTGTGCTGGGCACCCAGGGTGGCACTCAGGACCAGGAGAGTGCTTGTGAGAAGGGGTGCCCAGGCAGGGCATAGAGCCACTGGCAGTCACAGACTGGATGGAGCAGCTCTTCCATACTCATGCCAAAACATACAGTTGAAAAAGAAACAAAAATAAACCCGAGGAGGACATTTGTGTGGCCAGAAAGGCAGGGACTGCCCCCGCTGCGTCACTGCTGCAGATAGAGAGATAAAAGTGAACGTAAGAGGATAATTAATTAGCGCCAAGCACTGGTGCAAATGTTTAAGGTCCTGGCAACGCCAACACCCAGCCTCCCTCTCAGCTGCCAGCCCCAGTGCCAACAGTGGGGGCTGGCAGAGCCCACTGGGCATGGGCTGAGCCCACTGGGCACTGGCCGCATAGCCACATGGGCACAGAGCAGCCAGCCCAGGACCACCGGGTCTGGCCCCTCTGTGGCAGCAGGACATGGC